TTTTTCAGTTTTCACTTTTTCCACATACTTTTGAGAGTTCTGAATAGCTCGTCACTTAAATAGTTACAATCAACGTTCACTCGGCTAAAAAATTAAATTTTGGCGAAAGTCGACATTCCCCCTGAAAAAATCCAAGATCTGACCCTTTGGCTCCGGGTAAAAAATTTTTTTTAGTTCTCACTTTTCTCACATACTTTTGAGAGTTCTGAAGCCCGTCGCTTAAATAGTCGGAATCAACACTCGCCCGACTAAAAAATTCGATTTTGGCGAAAGTCGACCTTCCCTCTGGAAAAACAGAAAATCTGACTCTTTGGCTGGGGGTGGAAAAAAAAATTTATTTCGACTTTTGTCGCGCCTTCGGGGGTTTCATTGGCATCAGAATTGTTAGAAAATACAGAATCAACTTTTACTTGGCGAAAAAATTCGATTTTGGCGAAAATCGACTTTCACCCTTGACCCACGTGAAAATAAAAAATGTTTTTTCCCCATTTGTGTCACCTCCGAGGGTTTCATTGGCATCAGGGGGTCAATAAATACAGAATCAACGTTCACTATTTTTTATTTAAACACCGCCTGCAAACGGGGAGATGAGGGTGGCTAAAATATATTCTGCAACCCTGTCTCCTCGTTGGCTACAAATTTCAACCCTCCGCATACATGCCTTCCCCTTCACCCGCTTGTAAAATCACGCGTTCTCGGTAGCATCGAGGAGGACTTCTCAGGACCGAAAAGAACTGAGGATTCGAAAGGTCTCTGGGAAAGTACGTCGCAGAACTGATTAGGACTTACCAGGTCCATCTAGGTCTGGAAAGATCTTGAAAGACCTGTGTACGTCCAATCAGAACTAAATCCTCGACTCGGGGAGAGAAACGTTCAGTAAAATTATGCAACTCACAATTCGCTCACCGATTACAAAATCGACTCAGAAAATTTAAGTGACGGTATCGTAATTTTTCACAGCAGATTCAGATAAAAATTACAGCACACTCTGCAAAAATTCCGTGACAGTTCCGCAAAATTTCCTACAACGTTATATCACAAACTGTTCAATGAGTCCCAAGACCCTCATGACCCTTTTAAATTTCACCGACGTACCCCTTAAGGCATTTTTAGGACGAGTGAAGTGGTTTTTTTCTCATATCTCTGACTTGACATTCTCGAGACGTTATCATTCGTTTAAGTATATATATTCAACCATTTTCAATGATCAAATCTGTCAATTACATTACGTGAAAAAAATATGAAGAAAATCATAAATATTCAGCAGCATTCAAATTGTATTTCGCACAGATTTATTATTTTTTTAAACATTCGTTGTTTATAAATAAATAATTGAAATTGTTTGAACTTTTGGAAATCTTATTTTTTTAGGTATGAAATCGATTTCTAGTAAAATTCTGAGTATGAATAAATTTGTTACGATTGAGCCTAAACGATTTTTATGGTGAAAAATGCTGGCAATTTTCAAAAATTGCAATTTCTAAAATGATTTCATAAATCCTCCTCCAACAGTAAACTTTCTAATTTTTTTTTCAGATGTTTAAACTGTTTTCTAACTGTTCAATATCGAGATTCACATTGAGACCCGCAAAGTTCAAATAATAAAATTATTGTAAAATGTCGTGGAACCTGGGGTTGAATGGGGCTCAAATGAAAGCTCTGATGGTCCACTACACTGAGAGAAAAACGATAAAGTTCTCAAATAAGTCTTATTTGTGCAAAGAAAATAGTTTTTTGAAAATTATCAAAAAAGGTTTTTTTGTGCCAAACATGCAGAGATTGCGCCGGAATGAAACATTTTTGTCGCAAAAGTAGATTTAGTAGTTAAAAAAAATGTCATTCTCTGTACACGCAAGAAATTTCATTTCTAGCACTACTCTTTCGTTATCCGGTATCCCCATACGTATTTTGCTCCCGAAAAATCTTTGTTTTAGCGAAACAAGGGATAGTAGTTTTTCATTTCGACTATTTAATAATCACAGACAAGAAATGAACAATAATAATGATATGATAGCAATCTTGTAACTTAGGAATAAAATATTTGTTGATAAATTTTCCTCTAATATATGAGATATTTTCATCCTGAAAAGGCACCTCTGCTGTGAATTATCCGCCTCTTGAGCCAAATATATCGTTGCTGTCGAAAGCAGAGCAATTATTCATGTTTGAGACTTTCAAATTCGAACCAAACAATTTTTTTTTGGCAATTTTCAACTAGCGATTTTGTTGGCCCAAACAAGACTTGTTTGACAACGTGTTTGTTTTTCTCTCAGTGTACAAAAGTAGAAAAGCGTTTCACTGAAGAAAACATTTCCACAAACTTGGATAATTCGTTTCGGAGCGATGATGATTTTTAAATAATAACGAAGATGAGCCAATGGCTGAAATAACCCAATCAAATAGAAAATTCATTTTCAACATCTAAAGTCCAGTGTCCTGAGTGTCGCAGCCGGGTCCGATGAAAGAGTAAACTCAATGGCTACGATTCGATTTTCGCTTGCCAGTATAAAACTGTCCTCTCGCATCTCCCCCATTGCTTCCACCTACCCCCGGTCCCTTCCACCTGCAACTCTCGACCATCTCGGGACTCGAATTTCCCTGGGGACCCCGTAAATGGTTATTTATTCTTATTTTATTCATTTTCTCAAACTCTTGAATCTTGGTTTGAATTAGATTCACAATTTTCGGGAATTTCTTCTCACGAAAGGACAATTGCTCCAACATTGTTTGTTTCAACGATATAACAAAGTATTTTATTATTACTATATACAATGAACAGGACTTACGCATATCACAATTATTAAATATTTAGAATATTTTCGGTTTTTACAAAAAGGAGAAATTTTCGTCGATAATTTATAAATACTCTGCCCACTTGTGGTTACGACAGATGTCGAGAATGCCTTTGAGGAAATGAAATAGTAGAATTTTTTTTTCAATTTACAAATTCGTCACTTGGATGAAATAGTAGATTTTTTTTCCAATTCACAAATTCGTCGCATTGATTCGTTAATGATTTTGTCATTCGATGGAGTCGGTATTAAGATATATATATTTATGATAAAATTAATCGTACCAGGAGTTTTGACATGTGGAAACATGGGCATGGGTTCAATTCAGAGGATTATCTGAATTTAATGGAGGAGTTCATGAATAAATACTTGAAGACAGAAGCGCTTCAGTTTCTAATTAAAATCGATAGCGAAAGTGGCAAATCGTGATGAGCCTATTTCGACATTTTGTATTGATAGTTTAATCATTTAATTTTTTTAACTGATAAAATTTCCAACAAAAAATGTTTCTACACGTTTTCATTTTTTTCATTCTTAGACTTTTTGGTACTTAATAATTCCTCAATTATCTCGACAATGACTGGGTTTAAGAGAAAATGTCGAAAGACATTTTTTGCAGCTGACGTAATTTCGAACAAAAAAGCTTTATGACTTTTTTCTCCCAAAGCCCTCAGTTACAAGATATTTGAACCTTGATCAAGCCTTGAAAAATGGACTGTTCCGTTTTACCACTTCACCACCAAAACTGGTCTCTCTTTTTGGATTTTTCTACGAGTTAATGACGTATGTGATCCAGTCGACAGTTTTTGCCACTCGATGGTAGATGCCAGGCTGTCCCGGCTGTGCACAACTGTATCCCGCCGATACAATGCCGATCAAGTACCAACGTCCGGTTCTCTCGAGCATCAGGGGACCTCCACTGTCTCCCTGAAAATCACAATTCTTCTTTTATTTTCATTCAATTTTTTTCATCACATTTTTATTCAAACTGGGAGACAGAAAAATTCTCACTTGACACGAGTCCTTGCCACCCCCTCGATACCCAGCACACATCATCTCATCGTAGATAACAACATTTATTCCATTCGTCCTGTGCCACCTCTCGCACACTCTGTTATCGATTACTGGTACATCTACCGACTGTAGAGTCTTAGGTCTGAGTCTCGAGCCTGCACAAACCCCCCAAATCCATTTCAATCAATTGAAAAATAAATAGATTATATTAAGGTCCGGGTGTACTATCTTTCGAATGCTATCTGTATTTTTTAATCTTTCGTAATCCAAAATTGTCAATTGAGTGGTACATCATCTAGAAATTCCCAAAAATAATTATAGAATGATAAAAAAAATAGAAAAAATTCTGAACTTTTTGAAAGAGCGTTTTTAATTGAGATTCAGAATGAGGTGAAAAAAGTGGAAATTGCAAATATCTGATTCGCTGTGCCAAATTATCTATTAGCTCTCATTTTCCATGGTGGATAACGAAACACTAACTCTTCATGGGAAGTGACAGCTAGGTATCTAAATTTTGAAAACAGTGGTATGTAGTCATCTGCCATTTTTGTGATAAAAGTGTGATTGAAGAATTCTTTAACATATTACAACTTTTTTCAAAGAGCCTTTTCCGTAATGAATGTCTCTGTGCAGTGTAGGAAAAGATTTACGAAATCAGTCTTCCCCCGGCATAATATTGGGTGACAGGCCGCCATTTGTCACCGTAAATCAGATACATACATTTTTCAATTTCTTGTTATTCAACTTATTCTGAACATAAATTAAAAATGCTCTTTGAAAAAATTAAGAATTTTTTATATTTTTTTTTATTATTCATTCATAATTTTTCAAAACTTCTGCATGATGCAGGACTTAATTGACAATTTCAGATGACGAAAGATGAAAAAAAACATGGAGATAACGTTCGGAAGATAGTACACCCGGCCCTTCATTTATTAATTAATTAATTATAGTATTATATAAATTAATTGAGAGAGAAAACGGGTCATCTTCAATCGTCGATAAGTTGACAACGGCAGAGCGAATTTTCCCTATTTTTTTTTCATTCTCATTATCTACTAGAACATGGCGCGTATTGTTTTCCATGGGTGCCAGAATAGTAAAACTTTACTGTTTCTCTTATTTCATTGATTTTTATCTCAATAATAATGTAGGAAAAATGAATGGTTTCAACGACATTTTTCGCAATGAGAATTTGATTCAGTAGCGAACCGGTTAAACAGCCGATTTTGCCTATTGGCCAGTTTTCAATGAATATCTCGAAATCTAAGAGAGATGGCGAAATTTTTCCCATAACCTTTTCAGTAGCACTTAATTCGCTCTACAAAGAAGGTTATTATGAAAATTTCGCTATCTCCCTTAAATTCGGAAATATTTCTGGAAAACTCAACGAAAGACTAAAGTGAGTTAAACCGTTTGACCACTTCGCTACTGAATTGTTGAATAATTCATTCGGAATCGTCATAATTCTCTTCATTTTCTTTGTTTCTCTTTTGCTTTTTGGATTCCTTTTCATTTATTTTTAGGGATGTATTGCATATACTATATACATATATACCATCTTATATCTGTATTGTTTTTACAGTACAGAACTGTATTACATTTCTCTATTTAAAAAAAAATTACAGTATAAAACATATATGTATAGTATGTATTATATTATATATACATATATGCTATACTATGTTTTTTTATTGGTACTATACTATGTTACATATGTATTTTTTTTATTATAGTAAGAAATGAATTTCAAAATGAGATGTGGCTCATCCAAATTGCATCGTTCAATCCGGAGATATCGACGATCAATTCATTTTCATTTTTTTTTCATTAAAAAATCAATCCCATTGCTATTAAAAATTCATACAGTGGAAATGAAAATGAATAAAACTGAATGAAACTGAATAAAAAAACAAGAAAATGAATAAAAAGCGATCGAAAATTAATTTCAAGAAACAAAGTTCTTCAGGCGTAATTTACAAAAAAATATCCTCCAACGATATTTTCAATTCAGGAATTTCCACTTGTTCTAAAGTATCCAAAGAAATCTTCCTTACCGGCCTGGAGGGCTCCCCACCCGGCGGCCCACCCGTATTGCCCCAGGAAGTCTTCATTCTTGTCTGGCAGACAGATCGGTGAGATGTGCGCCATGTAGTGCACGGGTCTGTCTAGCCTGAGCACAGCGACATCAAACCTGTCGGCCTGAGGTGTGAATTTGAAGTACGGATGCACCCGGATCTCCCGAACGCCGAAGGTGTAAGCGGGAAGGCTCTCCGAGGCTGAATTGACAACGTAATCCCCCAGAGTCACTTGCACTTGACGAGCGGAGGCTCTGCAATTTTTTTCCAGTTATTGTTCGAGTGAAAATATTTTCATCCTTCCTTATTAACTTTCTTAAGGGGAAACGGAACCCCTGTGTCTGTATGATCTTTTAGAATTGTATTTTCTCCTGCAATTACTATTTTTTATTCATGAAACTACTTCATGGACTCAACAATGCAATGATCCAGTCGACAAAGTAATTTCATTGATATGAAGTAATAATTGTAGCAGAAATCACAATTCTAAAAATTCATATAGACACAGGGGTTCCGTTTCCCCTTAAGGGGATACGCCGGTGAAATTTAAGTCTTCAGTGGGCCTTAGGACCCATTGAACAGTTTGCGATATATGACGGAATATGGGATTTCGCGTCCCTAGAGTAGAGTTAAATTTATGAAATTCAAAATTCATTTATTCATAATCTAGTGGGAATAAGGTAAAACGGATGCTTAAGGTGTTTCGTGTGTAGATCACTGGGGGGTGAAACGGAAGAGAGTCTTATTGTTCTCGAGCCTGATTCAATCGCTGAGCACGAAAATTTCCAATTTTCAAGTAACTATTTAAGTGTGCATTTGAACATTTTTTGAATATTGATTTTATTTAACAGATTGATTGATTTTTTTCTCATCACCTATGGGTGTCATCATTTTTATTGGATGTTATTCTAATTATTGAAATAATATTAAAATGCGTCTCGAGTTGGTAAACCTGTCGAGTGTTTTCTCTCAATTCAATAAACTCACTTGGCTACACAATGTCCTGCTGTCACCACGTGGTAGCGATTGACAAGAGTTCCTCCGCATCTGCTCGATCCAATGCGAATGTAAGCCTATAGAATCAATTTAATGGAATTGATAATTAATTCGTTCTAGATGAACTAATCCAAGACGAATCGCCGAATGAAGCCCTTTGTTTCCAATTTTTCCATTCACTTCAACGATATTTTTATTGAAAATTGATAAACTTTTTTTTCTGAAAATTCCTTAATTAAATAAAAGGAATAATTTTTCAGTTGTAATACCCCAAGAGCTTCAAAATTATCGGGTATTTCCCGATAGGTTCGTTGCAAACAATTGAGGGTGTCAAGTTTTGCAGGCTAAAAAATCCCGAGCATTTGCGCGAGGGATTTTTCTGCAACACTTGGCACGATGGTTTGATTGCAGGGGAGCTTGAGGGAAATACCCGATTCATTTTGAATCTCGAGGGGTATTTGTCGAATTATTTTTCCCAATCCGGTTTTGGCCAAGGAGAGTGCAGTGGAAAACATCAAGAGGTGAATTGGGGAAGATTTTAACAAATTACGTTAATAGAATAACCCGATTTCCCTAGACTGTCAAATATAAGATTCTATCTGAAATGAGCTGAGAAAATGAGCTACTGCGAAATATTCAAAAGCTAGGAGGAAATATCCGATATAAAACTGTCGGGTAGGCTAAAATACTGCGCTCTGATTGGTCGAAATCCGATTGGGAAAAATAATCAATTCTAAATGAAGAATTATTAGATGCTAGCGAATTCGTTTTCTTCGGTTTTTGAACGATAACTTTTTTTCTAACTAATCTAAGAACGTTGAAAGAAGTTATTTCATAAATCCCATAATTCACTTTGCACATACATAATTAAATAATTTAATAATGAAGTCTGACCTGCCAGGGAAAGCTCCCAAATCCTGCATCATCACCACCCACAATTCTCCTCTGGGCAGTCTGTTTTGTCGATGAAATTCCACACTCTACACAAAACAAATCCCAAAATCGTGTATATCAATCACCCCCAATAACTATAATCCCTCATGCATAAGTGCAAAATCCATAAATTTTCGATTAAGTGTAAGTAATTTAAAAATCGTTAGACTTGGAGTAATTCACGCATTAGAAAGGTGGATGAGATGACAAATAGCAGTCACGTGCTTGTGAATAACATTAATTCTCGTTAAACTATGTTAAATCATCATCCATTAATTCCTCAGACTTCTCTCAAATCATGCAGTTCAATAATTAAAGAGTAGAGAAAGGAGATGTGTCAAAATTTTTCTAATAAAAACCAGAAAAAAATTTCACAGAAATCTGTAAACGGAGGAGATGTGGGAAATGATTACTTTGGAAAGCTGAAGAAATTTCCTATATTTCTCCGGCTCAACGGTGAAATCACTTTCGATTATATAAACACTGACTTCTCCTTGTGAAAATATCAAAATTGTCAAATTCTGAATGAAAGTTTACGACGGAATAATTTTGCATCGTTAATTGTGTTTCATTAGAGGTTGATATCTTCGAATTTAACGGACATACGACTTTGTACATAAGGACCTTTTTTGTAGCTCTCATTGCGCTCTACAAAAAACGTTCAGATAATAAAAGTCGTATGTCCATTAGATTGTGAGATATTTAGCAAAATGTCACAATTGGCAGAACGATTATTCAACACAATTCGGGAAACTTATTTCGTTTTTAATTGAGGGTCAAATGACGTTTCGGGACATTTGGAGTTGGAGGTTGACTGGTTTCAAGGGTCGAACGATCCTCAAGGACTCTTGAAGTTGATGTCAAAGGATCCTGAGGGTCAAAGAACCCTCAAGAATGTTTAGGGGTCTGAATTGACGACGTAATCTCCCAGAATCACTTGCACTTGACGAGCAGAGGATCTGCAATTTTTTTCCAATCACTGTTCGAGTGAAAATATTTTCATTCTTCCTTATTAACTTTGTTAAGGATGTTTATCCAAAATCGCATGAATTAATCGCACGTCCATTAGATTGTGAGATATTCAGCAAAATGTCACAATTGGCAGAACGATTACTCAACACAATTCGGGAAACTTATTTCGTTTTTAATTGAGGGTCAAATGACGTTTCGGAACATTTGGAGTTGGAGGTTGAATGGATTGAAGGGTCGAACGATCCTCAAGGACGCTTGATGTTGAAGGTCTTTGAAGGTCAAAGGATCTTGAGGGTCAAAGAACTCTCAAGAATGTTTAGGGGTCAGGGTTAAATGGTCTTAAAGGGTCATTGAGGTCTTGAAGGGTCAAATGGTCTTAAGGGTCGAATGGGTTAAGATGGAGGAACCTGAAGGCGTCACGTGACCCGCGAAACCCTTTGACCCTCAATTAAAGTAGCTCTACCCTTCGGCCGGACGCTGTACTTTTTAATGTTTTAAGTTTTTAAATTTTTCAACTAAATTGCATGGAAAATTTTTTTAAAAATTCATACCCAATCAGTATTATCTAAATTAAATTTCTCAAAATACTGATGTTTTTTCAAACAAAATAAATAATTAAACTTGTTTGTAAAACGGTGAATTATTTTTTATGAGGTGTCAAAAAAAATCTTGATTTTTTCACATCTAATGAAAAAAATTCAGATATTAATCTTTGATTACAATGGAAATGTTGATTTTCACACAAGACACTGGGTTAAATCCTGATTTTTAAACATTTCTTTGAAAAACCAAAACGATAATTAAATTGAGAAAAAAATTAGAATTCCGAATCTAATCGAGTTCTCTGCAATTTTTTTCCAGCTTTCAATAATCTTTGAATTTACCGTAAGGGTAGAGCTACTCTAAAAACAATTAAAAAAACTACAAATCAATTAATCCTGTCTGATCGACAAACTCATTAAATCTCCCTTTAATTACTGAATCTCGTTACATGCATGAGGGGTTTGTACGTAAACTTACGCTCGTCACTCGCTGTATCCGTAAATCCGTCCAAATCAAACTGCTGATGCAACTGTTCTCTAGGCGGATCAACGAGATTTAAATCATTGCTAGTTTTTGGATCTTTACGATGGCAACATGCGTACATAATTCCACCACAACTGCCATCCAACAGACCGGATGTCATCCAGCATTTAAGAAAAAATTCACAGCTCCTTCCGTCAGCGCACAATGTATCGTCACCCTGCCACGATGGTTTTTTTTCATTCCGCGGTATTTCTGGATAAATAAGAATTTTCTTTTTGCGAGAGAGGAAGATATAATTGCCAATTTTTGTTTTTCATCCCAAAAATTTTAGTTCATCTGCATTATTCAGGGATGATGATAATTTTGATAGAGACATTGTCTCAAATTCACCTGAATTACTCCAAGTCATGAAATTTAAACTTTTCGAAAATTTATTTTTAGACTATCGCGAGGTAATTTTGCGGAAATGCGTGACAGAATAGGTCATTACCGGAGAGATAACCTTTTAGTCATCGTGACGGATCAACGTTTCGCAAGTAAATAGTCAAGCATCCTGTTGCGTGTCGTGAATATCGTCCAGAAACGGAATTTCCTCAAGTTGATTTTGACATTTGTTAAACGGACGATTATCTCGATAAGGATTGGGTCTAGGCGAAATTGTCATAAAGCAGTCTTTGTCGGAAATTTAATTCTCTGCAAGAAAGGTAGTACAGATTTTTCTCGTAGGACCAATCGTTTTTGAGATAAATGCAAAAATATCAATAAAAATGTCAGAATCGATTGAGAAAAGTTGAGCAAAACTAGCTGTCTTCAATCTCGGATATCTCCGGATCGGCTGAGTGAAAAGTTGACGATTTTTCTTCATTTTCGAGATATTTTTTCGGGCTTGAAAATGATTCAAAATTCTTTCAAGTTGCATCGTTGGGTCGGGAGATATGGAGGATTAGAGAAGGTTCGTTTTGCTATTTTTTTTACAAATGTTTATTTTCGTCACTGTACTGATTATCATGTTAGTGGGGTATGATTAAGCGACTTGCTTTTACTTTTCCGGAATGTTATACGTATTACGGCAGGGAAATTATCTTATCAAGCGTAAAACGGGTTAGATAGTGTGGTATTTACCTGTATCAACCTTCGGGTAATCACTGTAAATTTGTTTCCGGTGATCTAAAAGGACAATGATGAGATAACGATTAAATATGACGAGATAAAATGTAATGTCACTTAAAATTACTCACAATTATGATGACAATAATATTTTGAGAGTGACGCAGTGAAAAAAAAATCACATTGGGAAAATTTAGGTCAGGGTAATTTATTTTTCACAAGTTGTCTCCAATAAAATGTGCGGTTTTTTATGACGAATATAATGGCTTAAAATTCTCCAAACGCGTGCACCGCGGGACGCTCCTATCGACAAATGTGTCCATGTCGTCGACTGCGCAACTTCCGTTTGGTTTTTTGTTACATCATATTTTCCAGGGATTTCTCTACCATAAAGTTTCGATAACGAGAACTGAGATGTTTACACATGAATAATTAATTAATTCTCTATATCATCATCACCTTCATAGAATAAATCATGATGGAAATCATTTGGATTATTTGGAAGCTATGATTTTTAAGCCTAGATTGGTAACCCTGTGAGGGAAACCCCGCCGCGCGTCGTTTTTCTTTAATTACAATTGACTGGCTAATGGGGACAATTGAAAAAATGACTTTGTCAATTGAAATGTCTAAAAAATTGTAGTAGTTTTTAGAATAACATATTCTCCAAAATTGTCAAAGAAAGCAAATTATTTCGGGGAGATGGATTATTTTTTCCCAAATGGAGAGAAAAATTCAACAAAAATTACCAGAAAAAAAAGTAAGAATTACGTTTCGAAACGTAATTCGCGAGCGAAGCAAAATTCAATAAAAAGTGTGCCCGGTGGCTTGGCGCAGTGGGTAAGTTCATTGCCTCACATGCGAAAGGTTCCGAGTTCAAATCCCGGCCGGGTAGAATGGTGCGATCTAACCATTTAAAGTCTTGATCATCATCGCAGTATACCCTAACTGGGTCGAAGCGATGTAAAATAACGCTAAAAAACAAATAAAATGTGTGAGTCGGCGCTAAAATTGTACAAATCGCCACGTAAATTCTACGATTTGTTCCGTAAAAATTGACCACCCGTCTGATGACTCACCGCTGTGGGAACAACAAGTTGTTCCGTAATTTTTCCCCAACGATTGAGAAATTTTACAGAACGGAACGTAGAAATAACTCACCAGCTTCGTAAAAATCGCTGAGCGTTCAAGAATTTTTAATTTTGCAGACATAATAAGTCAGAAAGTTTCTGTAAGATTTTACTTCTTCGGGAAAAATTACGACAATTTCATACTTTGTTCGGTGATGAACCTGAAAATTCACTGAACGTTTCAGATTTCTTCTCTTCCATTCGTATAAAAATCGGCGGAAAACGATTCCCCATTGCGGATTACGTGAATTGTTCCGTAATTTTTACTGAGTATTTCTCTTCGTGCATGTTAAATGAAATTTTCCATGACGCGACGTTGCCGGAAACTCGCTAAACTCGCCCGGGCAGTGTAGAATGGATTCGGCAACGCTAAAGTCTAAATAACGCAGCAGCGAACCTCCGCGGAGGTGAACAAAGTCGCAGGGTCACATTTGGGGACCAGACTAGGGCTAAATAATAAAACGAGGAATAATTTCCCTCACCACATCAACTCACGTGTTGACATGTGCACGTTGCCTTTATCGTATTTCCGTTGCATGAAATTTATCAGGGATTACTCTATCACAAACAGCAAATTCCAAAAATAAGCAGTAACTAAAGAAAAAAAAACCTCTGAACTCGTCGTCAACCTCCGGCGACACATGATTATTCGACTGGAAGAAAGAAGATCCAACCCCGGACCCTGGAAACGTGGGAAACTCATCCCTGAATATCAACCTGGGACTCCTGTGCGCCATGACAGGCGCTGCCGGCTGCCGCCAGTAAGATTTCGACTGTCTCCAGGATGGCCCCGGTACCGGCGAGAATCGGGCGATCGGGTAGACACTCCTTCCACTCGGTGGTGCCTCGAAGTACCCGGGAATGGGAAATCTCACGAATCTTCGCCTCCGTAATACCCGTGAATTCGTATGATTCACTGGTGATTGCATCACACTGCCCTCGGTATTCGATGGCACTTGCACCTCTGTGGATACCCATTCTACCATCAACAGAAATGTGATGACATACCAGCAGCACTCCTTTGTTGACGATCTCATTGTATTCCTGGTGATGATATGAAAATATAACAAGTCGGTTTTTTCGTCATGTTTTTATGGGTTTGGTCTTGAGGCGAAAGGTTTCAATGTATGAGGAAAAATTTATTTAAACAATAGGGAGGATCTTTATCTATGCGGAAAAAAATATACTTAAATTCAGTATAAAATATACTTGAATCAAGTATATTTTATACTCAAATCAAGTATATTATATACTGGAATCAAGAATAATATACTTGAATCATAGTATATTATATACTCGTATCAAGAATAATATATTTGAATCAAGTATATAATATACTTGATTCGAGTATAAAATATACTTGATTGAAATATATTTTATACTCAATTCAAGTTTTTTTTTCCGTGTACACTATTGACAAAATTTGGCTGACTTTTCGGGATACAGAGCTTCAATTCGATTTGCGGGGAACAAATCAATGGAATTTCAAATTTCAAGTCAATTTTTTAAGCGGCAGAAAGACGAAAATGCCACAATTTACATTTACATGAACTTTTTAATGCAAATTTTATAATAGAATTTTCATTTAAAAGGGGAGACAAAATGAAACAACCGAAAAGCAACTATTTGACACAATTCAAGCAACAAAAATTTTTTTTTATTAAGCTTTGTTTATTCACTTTTTGATTATTGGGAGTACTGATAAGAATAATAATGTTTTATTCGTCTTATAATTCAATTGATTAGAATTCAATTGTTTAGATTAGGCCAATTACGCTTTTTTTCATTGGATTGAAATCCAGTATCACATTTTCCTTTTTCCCAATCCGGGTCTTCCTCCGGATTTTGCATTTTGCTGTTTCATTTTTTTTTTCAATTAATCCATTGACAAAATCTCCCGTCAAAACTTATCAATTTTCTATTCTACTGAATGGAAAATCATTATTCTAATCACTACTCGCAATAATAAAAAAAGTTGATGAACAAAAACTAATTTAAACAATGGTTAATAAAAAAATTTTTTTTGCTTGAATTGCATCAAACAGCCGCATTTTCTACTGTTTCATTTTGCCCCACTCTCCCCTGTTTATATTATATCATATCATTTACATTATGTTTATTATTTCTATTAAATGAAAATTCACTACCGAATTCCCTTGAATTTTCAGAGAATTCCTTGAAAATTATTAAATTCCCGGAATTTTCGAAGGAATTTCCTGAAAATTCAGAGGAATCTGGAATTCAAGAAGAGATTTCTCAGAATTTTTCAGATTTTTCATCAATTTTTCCGGAATAATTAAACTGAAAGTTACAGTTTTCACGTATTTTTCCATGAAATTATCAATTTTGACAATGACAAAATTCCTTCAAATTTCAATGGAAATTTTTAAACAGTGTACATATTGAAAATTACTGAGGCAAAACGGGTCATGTTTCAAACAAGAAAAAGTGATCCTGTTAGCTTCCCGTCGAAAGCTTTTTCTTTTTATAAAAACAAAAATTCTCCATTTAAAAAATATTTTCTCTGAATTGAGAATTCTGTTAATCCTTCCTTCGAGAAGATCGAAAGTGTAGGTTTATGCGTGAAATGAATAAAATATGTGGAAGGTGTTTATTAAAACTATCCCGCAATAATAAAAACAAGTGAACCTCCGAAAAATAAAATTCGGTAATCGATTGAGTCACAAAAGTGAAATCAAACGTGAATAAAAATGCAAATAGTCACAGCATATTTCTCTTTTACATCACATATTGACTGGGTAATGAGTGAAAGTGATGAAGATCCCAGCACACGCGGAAGTTTATGGATATACGCCGAGGTAAAACGGAAGTATCTCGAAGTGGCTTCTCGATACAGAAAAAGGAACTTCAGTAGAAATGGCATTCACGAGTGATTTTAACGACTTGATCAGCCTGCAAGAGAAAACTCCATCATTCACGTGATGTTTATGACCGCTAGCGAAGAGGAGGCATTGTAAAATTATTCCTCCCGGGCCGCGTGTAGATATGATGCATTTTGATGACTACTATAAGTTTTAAAAATCACGGGCTATTGGAATGAGATTTCTCGTACATTGAAGATCGACTATATACAGTAGAGGCTTCGTATAAGATACCTTAGGGACAGTAGGAGAGTGGAATTCTGGGAACTCTTATGCCCTCACTACGCGCGTCCATGGAGAGGAGAAAAATCGGGATCAGCGGGTTTCAAATGAGATACCTCACTCGTTGCGCCCGAATTCAATGAAATTCACATTTTTACTGAATGAATATCGATAACTAATCAATTTATGTGTTCAATGTTTTGGATTCTTATCGCCNAGATACCTCACTCGTTGCGCCCGAATTCAATGAAATTCACATTTTTACTGAATGAATATCGATAACTAATCAATTTATGTGTTCAATGTTTTGGATTTTTATCGCCCACGTTCCCTTTTCTCTCTAAACATAACCCCGCGTGATAGAATGGCAGCTGATGTTGGGGGATTGTTGGTGGACTCGAGAATAATTCATTATTTTTTTGGGTGTCATGAAAATTTCCCTAATTGACGGTGGGGTAACCTCGGAGGTTATGCGTGAATTTTCATCAAGTGAATTTGAAAAAAGATTTTTTTTTAATGTTTTTTTCCCTTCATCGGAGAAATATGTATTCATCCATCCGACGAAATTTCAAACCCGCAACCGGAACTAGACATCGAGAAAATAACTGCGGAAAATCCTCTATTTCGCGTGACGAACCTCGAGAAAGCATGGGATCAAATGGGTACGGCGGGTTGAAATATCTCTTATTCACCCCGGTACCCCATTGTTTTTTGTCGCCATCACATTGAACACATCATTCCCCATATCTTCAAATTTTTTCAAATTTTTCTTGAGTTCCTAGGGAGTTGAAACGTTCAATTTAATCAAAACTCCATAAGAGGCCGTCTATAAGACTGATTTTGTTTATTTAATTTCTCGATATCCATAAGTTCTAAAATTCTAAAATTGTCACCGATGTTCACCATCTGTCTAATACTATTAATTTAAAAAATTATAACTTTGTCGGTGAATGTCAATTTTCAAGGTCATCGCCAAATTCACTTGGCACCTGTAATAACAGGAAATCATTTCTCACCCGAATTCCCTCTATGCGCAGCCGTCGGCTGCGCAACTTCCGCTCGACTTTTCGTTACACGAGATTTTCCCGGGATTACTTCACCACAAAATTTAAATAACGAGAACTAATAAGATGTTAACTTAACGCATAAAAATCGATAATTGAAAAGAAAAATTTCGATAAAAAGCGATGATCAATTTATGAGATGAGTAGGGGAAAGCGTTTGAAGCGTTAAATATGTTGAACTCTCGTTCTAAAGGGAAAGTGCTAGTGTCGTATCGTCTTCTTTCACCTCGTGGTTTCATACGTGAAGGTGAGTCACAAACACGCATCGGCAAAAAGTGGTTTATTTGACTGGTTTCGTAATACCATCCGGCAAAATATTCACGTAGTCCGGATATGTGAAGCCATCGGCTTTCGCATACACCCGGGACTTTCACGAAATCTCGCCACTCCGGGTAATACGTTTTCCATTGAATATTTCGTGTCATTGGGATCGGTTCCTCTTACGAAATATTTCGACGTTTATTTTCAGATTATCGTGTTTTCATCAGGAATCGTTACATTCTCCCTTTCTTCACGGCGATTACATAACGGGGACTAGCCGGATGTCGATGGACTCGATTAAGGGACTAACGGGAAATTATCCAGTGGTTATTTAATGGGAAGGAGTTTTGACGGAAAATCCGTTAGGATGACGAATTGCTCGATTTTATGTTTTTGATCATGTGTTTTTTTTTCACCGGGGATCGATTTTTTATTTTTACTCTCTGATTTTTTCCCATTTTTTTTTATTTCAATATTTTCTATAATCTCAAAAAGACATCATCATGAACCATACTAATTTAAAGAAAATGTTTCTATTGGCATTAAATTCCATTTAAAACTTACTTGAAAAATGAATAACAAATTTTATGCCATTGACTTCCATTTAAAAAAATCAGATTAATGTTTTTAAAATAGAGGTGTACTCCTACTTCGAAATTCTCCGGGAAAAAACTTTGCATTCGATTCCAGGGGAAAAAGTCAATGAAATCTCAAGTAAATTTCACAATTTACATGAATTCTCAATTGAAAATGAATCTTAACTGAATGAATTTTCTGGGAACTCCTTTAAAATTCTCGCAATTCCACGAGTTTTAAAAGAATTTTCCTAATTTCTCATCAACTTTCCCGGAATAATTAAATTGAAATTTACAGTTTCCCAGATTTTTCCATGAAATAATGAATTTTAAATGACTAAATTCCTTGAAATTTCAGTGAGAAAACTTGTTAGAAATTTCCAGGCCTCTTACCGTCAATTTCAGTGAAAAATTTTCAGCTTCAAGCCATCCATTCTCCCCGGATATACCATAACCAATCACAAAATACCCAATCACTTCGTCCCAGTAAAAAACCACCGAACATCAAAACCATCTGATTTCCAATCCCCAGCATTTAATATTTCACGCTTGCGCACTTCTACCGTTATGTTAGTGGGTCATTGGCTTAGCGATACACCCGTTTAATGGTCACAACCTACGTTAGAACAGACAGGGAGTGAAAGTGCAGCGGCGTGCACACGGGTTGCGTCGTCTCACCGCAGAAAGCCCCCATGGATTTGAAGTTCACGTTCACGTTCACCGGTTTGTTTCTATCTATCATATCCCGCAGGGAGCACACGTTTCTTCAAGAAGCTTGAGATGATGATCACAACGATCGTCATGATCTCTCGTGTTTACTCAACTCGTCATGAATTTCTATCTCTCCTATTCTCCTTATTTACATTACAATTTCATTTAATTCCCTCAATTATTTCATTATTTTATTCATTATTAAATTAAGCGAGTGATTTTCCCAGTGTTTGTGATACGAACTTTCACCTTGAGATGTAGTGAGTCGAAAGTCATGGGATTTCTTCAAATCTTATTTGGATTTGCATTATCTTCTTCAAGA